AAATGTCCACCTTTAATTACTATTTTTCCCCATCTGAAACATTCAAGACTTTTCCCCAACATTAATCACAATGTGACGGTCATAAGCCTCAAAAAGCAATATTGAATGCTGGTTTATCCTGAGACATCTGTCACAACAGATCCAGATTGTGTCAGCTGCATCTCTACTGGATAAGTCCATGTTAAAAGACATCCCTGACCCTTTTCAAGTTAATCAAATCACTTGGTTCATTGCTCCAAACCCCAGATTAGCTTAAGTTTTGAGCTGAGGTATAGAAGCATAGCTAGAAGAGAAACTGCCCAAGGAGCCAAAACAATCAATATGAATTCTCTGTCCACAAAAGACGCCTTTTGAATCCTGTTGTTATTCCAGAAGACAGCTGCCACTCTATCTGGGCCACACTCTTTTCAGAGCGTCAGGGAATTGTTTACATGAAAGCAAAGGCTACAAGCTATATCTCCCAGTCTAGAAATGATTCTGATATTGAAAGATTGGTGAGTAGCATATCACATGTCAAACTACATAGCATAGTTCAACAAGAGCATTTAATTTTTCATGGGAAGTGACCAAGAAATCTTGGACAATAATTCACATTCTCTTCTCTATTATAATAATTTCACTTCAAAAACTTTTTGATTTGCCATAATGCCTTTTCAACAGTAAAGTTTGCTTCATTTCCAAATCAAATCTGTACTGAAATAACCACATCTCTCTTTGAGTTCTTTGCAGCACAGGGATTGGCAGACATATTTATTCCCAACAATGGATCCACATTTGCTTCAGCTGAGTTTAACAAATTTGTGTATGAGACACATATCTGAGCTGTCAGTATGGGGCCTTATCACCTTCAAGCACATGATCAGCCTGAAAGACTGATGTGGACCACTGAAGAATGTTCTCAACTAGATTGCTGGAGATGACCAAACAACAAAACTTGACAGGCTTCTCATTCTCTGACATAATGCTCTTTCTTCAATCAATCAATCAACTAAACAATAAGCATTTATTTAGCTCCTACTATGGCCCAGGGTATTGTACTAAATACTAAATATGGTACAAATACAAAGAAAAAAAACCATTTCTTTCAAAAAACCTATGTTCTAATGAGGGAGACAAGTATACATAGAGTGTCCTAAAATTCATAGTGCTGTTTAAAACTATTAAAGCTTAAAACTAAAAGTCAAGATTAAAGCTATTGAAGCTTAAAATGAACTTATATACTGTACATACAGAATAGGTGTAAAAAGAATACATACAAAGTAATTAAATATATAGTAGTTAAGGAGGGAAGATACTAGTAGTTGAAAAGGATCTGGAAAAGATACATGTAGGACATGTTGCTTGACCTGAATCTTAAAAGAAAACAGGGATTCTGTGAGACAGAGGTGAAGAGATAGTTCATTCCAGATATAAAGATAAGGAGCTGGGAAGTGGAGCGTTGAGTGTGAGAAACAGAGAAAAAGCTGTTTCATCTGGACTCCAAATTGCAGGAGTAGATATAATGTATATTGAGGCTGGAAAGATGCATTGGAGTTAAGTTGGAAAGGACTTTAAAAATGAAACAAAGGAGTATATATTTTATCCTGGAGGAAATAAAGAGCCAAAAGAATTGATTAAGTAGGGGAATGACATGATCAGATCTGTGCTTAAGGAAAATCTCTGGCAGGAAAATATCTGTAGTACTCTAAGGATATACTGAATTGCAAAGAGATTTGAGGCAAGGAGACTAATTAGGAAGCCACTGAAATAATTTCAGGGAGCTGAGAGGTGATAAAGACTTGAAGTAAGATGATGGCTATGTGAGTAGAGAGAAAGAATCTGATGTGAGAGATAATGTAGATGTAGAAATGACAATATTTATCTACTGATTATCTATGTGGGATTAGAGAAAGTGAGAAATTGAGGATAATGCTGAGGTTGCAAACTTGGGAGATTGAAAAAAAAGTCAGTTCTTTTGAATTACCAAGAGAATAATTTCTTAAGACTTAGCTAAAGATTTACAAGATGAAATAGATGTTGCTCTGTCTACAGATTACTCTCTACTCATTTTTAACATGAGTTGATCTTTGCTAGGGACAGTGGAGCTGGATCAAGATGGATTTCTGCTTCTGTGAATGAGATCATAAGCATTACATAATACAAGGCCCAGAGTGCAGGGTGAAATGTTCTAGCATTGCCACATTGACCAATTGTGATTGCGTTACTCCTGGAGTAAACTGAACACATCAGAACTATTAGATGTACTTGATGATTAAAAGTCCCTGATATTTTAGCTATACCCCCTTGAAACCTCAGCAGAGCCACAAAGCAAAGAAAGTGAATATTTTTATTTAGCTTGTCTAACTGTTGAAATGGAATGCACTTATGAGTCCATACCACTAGCATATAGACACTGACAGCGCAATCCAACTAAAGGATGTCTTCTTCCTCTTTGGTTGATTGTGTTAGCTAAGAGTATTATATGTATATGCTAGGGAGGGTTATGGGGCAGTGCAAGAGTTTTTATTCCTTATGAGTTTTTTACTGTTTTGTTCCATTTCAGGCACTGCATTTGTATACTGCAGAATGAAGTTCTGTGCAAAGTAGGTTTTTTGTTAATAAAGAAATGTCATATGAAGAACTCCTCAACCCCATTATTGACTTTGCCATTGATAATGACGTAGCAGTTATCTCATTTGATCTTTACATCTGTCCTAAAGTGAGGAAACTGAGGCTCAGAGAAGTTAAGTAACTTTCCAGTGGTGTTCTTCAGTCATTTTCAGTAGTGTCAAGTCATGTTCTACTCTTCATGACCCCAAAATAACTTACTTAAGGTGATATGGCAAATTCTGCCAAATGTATTTTCTTGCTCATCAAAAACTGGTCTCTTTCCCTGACTTCAAACTCAGATTAAATTGACTCTTGGAGGATTTTTCCACAAGAAAGCACACATTGGGTAAATTAGGATTTTTGTTTATGAATATGTGTGTTGATACATGTATGCATGTGTAGGTTTTACACAGACATAAAATGATGTAGATGCAATTTTTGACAGGTTTTTATACCCTTTTCTGTAATTCAGAACTGCTCCTTGAAATAATCATCCCTAAACAGTTTAAAGAGGGCAGTAGGCTCAGTTTCCCAAATGGTAAAGACAAGAAATAAAATATCTACTTAGGCAATCTCCCCTTATGTCTGAATAAAGAACTAATTCAGTCAAAAATTTATTTGGGAAACATTTTAATTTTCAAAACAAAAGGCTAGAAGGAAGAAACTGACATTGGATCTTCTATTAACCTCTTCAAGCCTCACTTTCCCTACACAAAATGGGACTCTGTCTCAGTCACATAATGATGTAGAGAGGCTAATGAAGGATTAAACAGTCTTTTAAGAACAAAGGGTATTGATAATCCATGTCCCTTTTGGCAACTTATGGGCATGGGGAGAACAAGGAAAAGGAAGAGTCAAGACTCTAAGGTTTGAGACCTGGGGTAATAAAGGATACTATCAACAGAAAAAAAGTAATCCATTCTGATCAGGGGCTATTTTGTATATCCATTATATCTATATCTATGCACTCTATTCCTTTCTAGTCCTACACACACACATGCATATATGTATGTGTGTCTGTATCTCAACCCATGAAATGTAGCTATGTTCTGAGCTGGCACCCTTGAACTTAAAGGCAGCACTTGTGTCCCAATACTCCCAGGTAGGAAATCTTTAACTTTTCTTTGCTTCTGCAAAAGGCTGGAAAATATCTAATGCAATAACTTGGAGAGCTTTCTCTTCTACGGGATCATCTCACCTCCAGACTTGTTCTAGCTTTTACATTGCTTTGCGTCTTCGTTGAGGTGAAAGACGCTCCAGTATTGTGTTCTTTTCCAGCCCATTGGAAAGGTCTTGAAATGATAGTTGCTGCAACTAGGTTCCAGTCCTACTGCATTTATCAGTGTGATTTAGAAAGGGTTTCCCTGGCCAGATAGATACTGTTTTACTTTTAAAACACATTCTAGCTTATGTATGTTTGGGGAGGAAGTATGTGATCACATGACCAGCCATCCTTACAACCCAGGTACCAATTAGACCAAGATAAGACCCTGGAGGGAAAATCAATAACAAAGCTGGTCACTTTGCCCAGGGTTTTTCAAATGGCTGCGGAGTTCCTGAAATCCGGAACGTTAGTCTGCAAAGAGACACAAAACTAAGGGTGCACCAAAGGGAATGATATTTTATTTAGAAAAATGTGCATTCGTGTACACACACACACACACACACACACACACACACACACACACACACACACTATTTGCTGCTCAGCCAAAGGCTGCAGTCTCCTTCAGAGGGGAAGTGTAGGAGAGAAAAAAAATATTCCTGAAAACTGGATCTCAAATATAGGGTTTCTTCTCGTGCTGCAGATGGAAAGGACCCAAACAAACCTAGTTCAGTGCAGTTGGTCTTCCCTAGCGGTCCACCACAGTTCCTTCCCTCCTTCCCTCCTTCCCTCCTGCTCTCCAACCAGTCCTGCTCCACTCAAGTAGGAGCAGGCTGCTCTCCGGGTTTGTAGATGGTTTCTACCCCCTCCTCCCGGACCCACCCCCTCCTGTAGCTGAGCTCTGCCCCTCACTCAGAGCCCTCGCCTGAGTGCGCGGGGAGGGCTCGCAGAGGGAGATGGAGAACGAGAGACAGCGGCAGGTGCAGACGGGGCTGAGCCCCAGTAGCCCGTCCACTTCCCACCTCCAGTCTTGAGGCTCCCTTGCTAGCCCTCCTAACTGGTCCTGAGTCGGCGGGTGACGTTGCAGCGCAGCCACAGACACAAAGGCGACTAATAGAGGCAGTGGCGTTGGTGGCGGCAGCGCGTCGGGCTGCAGGAGGCAGTCCCGAGCCGAGCAGCGGGAGCAGCCGCCGGCCCGGTTCGGAGCCTTCTGGGGGCTGCCCGCAGCGAACCTAGCGAGCCCGAGCACCATGGGAGCCCGCGCAGCCCCCCCGCCCCCCGACTCCAATCCCGGCCCGCCCCCTCCCCGGGATGCCGCTCCTGCTGCAGATGAGCCTGACCTGGGCCAGCCCAGCTCCAGACAAAGCCAGGTGGGGAGACGCGCAGGTGAGGAGGGCGAGCGCCTGGAGCCTGGCAGCGGTGTCGGCATCGGTTACGGAGGGGGCGTGCGGGAGGGAAAGGAAAGAACCCGGGCTAGTCTGGGCTCTGAAGGAGAAGGTGAGGGACTCGGGGCTATCCCGACATCCTTCCCGGGGTCTGGCTTAGCCGGCAGGAGACAGGCAGAGGTTTGGGACACGCAGCTCCTCCGCTGTTAGGGTTCCGGGAGTATGCAAAGAACCTAGGAGGGCGGTAAGTACCAAGCCCTGGACAGCGCAAACCTAAAGGCAGGCAGTGAATGGGGAGAAGCTTTCTTCAGTAACTTGAGAGGTTACCTTCCAATCTGTACCCCTATCCCACTTCTTTACACAAATACAGGTGCACATATAGGTGCAGGACACATATGGCATGTGCATGCATGTGTGAAAGTCTGCACTTAATGCTTTCCTCTATTTAAATCCATTTGTTCTCTTGAATAAAGCAATTCATGTTCAGTTTATTATCGGTGGGATAAGGTTGGTGGTGGAAGTGTGTTAGAATGGGGAGCTTAGGAGGACTGGAAAGGAGGAGCTGGTTTCCGGGCTCAGGAAATGTAAATGCCTTGGCTGGAATAAAATTCACAAGAAGAAAGCTGGGGGGGGGGTTGCCAAGTTTTCGGTGCCTGGGGTCTTCATTCAACAGAGAATGATGACCTCCAGCAAACCTCTGATGGGATACCTTGTGCATACATTTAAAAAAAAAATTAGATCTCCCGGCACATCGACATGTGAGACTTATACTTGTATCTGGCTGGTGAGATGAAGATTTTCAGTTAAATATACCGGGAAGACGACAAAGCTGTGTGTGGAATGTGCATTTCTATACGCCAAAGATGCCATCCCTATGTAATAAATAGTTAATGACCGTCAGTGATTCATAAATCATAATGTGAAATTCCTGCAGGTCATAGATCAAACTGTAATCATGATTTGTGCACTTCCTTGGCACAGAGCGGGCATTCTGAACCAGCATTTCAGTTATGTAACAGAATAATACAAGCGTGTAGCTGGGCATTGTTTGGCAATGGAGATGCCTCACAAATTGTAGCCTGTGCTAAGGTGTTGTACACACAATGGCAACAGAACCTTTCTGTTTTTTAACCCCTTTAGGTTGGAGTAAGTTATATTTTGTAAGAACATGGAAAACATCCAGAGCTACTGGAGGAATCTTGTGGGTTGGAATCGACCTTTTATGTAGAGGATTGGGGGGCGGGGGACCTGTTTATTTTGGGTGAGGAAATGATTTAGAGTGGAAACCCAGAGACAGCAAATCCCATGCCAAACCAGCCTAATTTGTTTATAATGATGAGTTGCTGTGTCCCTCTGTGTTTAATACAGGTTTTATATTTTATGCATCATAAGAAGAGCTGCCAAGGGCTGTTTGCCAGTCTTAATGTGGCCAATTATAAACCCCACCCAGAAGCTTACAAGCTGCCACCGCCCTCCTTGGTGAAGAGTGAATATAAATGACAGCCCCCTAACCCCACTTCCCCCTCTCCTTTCTTTGACTGTTGGAATATTTCAGACTTCTCTGAAGGTAGAAGCCAGCTGGAGCCAATTCATTCATTAGGTGCCATTCTGAACCATTCTGATCTGTTGTTACTAACTCAACGTGAGCTTGGCAGCTTTGTTTTGGTTAATGTTGAAGTTAGGGCAGATTGGTGTAGTGTGAGTTTCATGGAGCACCTCTGCAAGATCTAGGGGGTTTCACATAACCAATTAAAGAGTTTTCTTGTTATTAAAGATCAGAGTGGGGGTGGGGAGATGGAGGGAGATGAACATGAAGAAGCAGCAATTTGAGGTTTGGTTTTTGTTGGGTTTTTGTTTTGTTTTCTTTTGTTTTTGTTTTTTTGTTTTGTTATCGTTGTTGTTGTTGTTATGATAGCCTGAAGGGACAGTTTAGATAAGTGCCAGATTAACAGTCAGACTTGATCCTTATCTGAGATATGCATAAGGAGCTGGAGATGGATGAAAATTAACTTGGTGTTAACAGCTCAAGGGGAAAAGAACTGTTCAGCCTTATTTATGAGTACAGTAAGGCCAAGGAGGCAATGTTAGCACATAACAATACTAATAAGCAATGAAATACATATATTCTGGATATTAAAGGCTTTTTATTTATTATGTTAGTAGTATATTCCTTTAGGCATTTAATTTCACTTTTTATTATCTCCAATGGTAATTGCATAGGAAAGAATTTTTTGGCCTTTCAGTTTCTGAGAGCAATTAAGTAATTGGCTATCTGTGATATCATCTCTCTCCACCTGTTGTACATTTTCTATCTGGCTATGTGAAGAGTTTGGTAGTTTCTCCTTATCAGCAAAATACTGTAATAGAGGTTAACCAAAGGAGATTACTTCTGGGGCTGTGCTTTATAACCCATAAAGGACTGTGCAAATTTGAGGGATTGTTATTTTTTTCTCATACTATTCATGGTGTGGCAAAGAATCTAGTGGAAAATGCCCATCATTTCCAAATCTTGACAAATATGAGGCAGGAATGAATCTTGGAACAATGATTTCATTTCATGATTAAAATGAAGGAAAAGTCACAGGCCTACCAATTCCAGTTTAACACGTATTACAAAGAAATCCTAGATGTCAAATTCTGTGAAAACTGCCTCCCTAACCTTCAGTACAATTTAAACCCCGAGACAGAATCAATATGGGAAGAAGAAAGTAAAGAAGTAAGGGGCTGAAGAAATAAAAGGAATCCACTCTCAGCTGCCCTCCATGGTCAGGGAATGAAGTGTTCTGGTTAATCAGTCATGTATCTTTGGTGTATTGTACTTCCTCCCTGCTTCCAGTCAGCTTAAAGTTAAACAGTAATCAAAATGAAGCCACTAGTAAAATAGAACTTCTAAGAAAGCTAAAGCAATCTTCAACCATGTTGTTACAATTCTAGAGTCCAGTTGGAGGGAAATGGGAATCTCACTAGAATCTTTATTTTTTTTATGTTTTGTTCATGCCATTGTTGTTGACATCATGATCATGTTTTCCAATACTACCCCCTACACACACACACACACACACACACACACACACACACACACAACACACACACCACACACACACACTGAATCAATTAAGTAAAACTGACAACAAATGCAATGTTAGAGTGCTAGAATTAGAATTAGAAAGATCTGAGTTTGAATGCCACCTGAGACACTTTTGGGCTAGAAGTCTCTGGACAAGTTACTTCCTCTCTGACCTTCAGTCTCTTCCTCTAGAAAATCTGGATAATAAAAACACCTAGCTTACAGGGTGGTTGTGAGAATCAAATGAGGTAATTTATATTAAGTGTTTTGTAAACCCCAAAGTGTTTCATAAAATGAAGATAGTGTTATTTCTTAACAATATTATCCCTTATCACACTCAACTTTCTACAGAGTGAAGAAATCTGTTTCATCCTTTGTTCTCCAGGACCAAGATCTGTTATTGCAATTAATTTAAGTTCATTTGCCTTTCAGCATTGTTTTAGCATCAGAAGGTCTTAACCTGTAGCCTACTGGATGGATTCAGGGTGTCTAAAAATATGGATGGGGCAAACTAGTATCTTTATTTTCACTCATCTCTAATGAAATTTAGCATTTCCTTCTATTAAGAATGAAGATAATAGTACATAGAAATCCACAGGTTTCACCAGACTGCAAGAGGTTCTATGATACAAAAACCACTTAAGAACTCCTGTGCTACATTACTGTCATCATTATGTACACATGTATATGTGTGCATGTGCACACATGTATAGTTTTTCTCTTTCTGCTTACTTGTTCTGCATCACATCATTCAAATCTTCCCATATTTCTTTCAATTCTACATTTGTCATTTCTTACAGCATGATAATATTGTATAACATTTGTATATCACAATTTATTCAGTCATTCCTTAACTAATGGCTGCACAAATTGTTTCCAGTTTACTGTTATCACAAAGAATGCTACAGTGTGTACTTTAAGGATACATGATGACTTTCTTTCTGTATTTGACCTCTTTTGGATATAAATGACCAGTATGAGAACCAAGGGTGAAAGTCTATTAACTAGGAACCAACCGTATTTTATGAGGAACACTGACAAACTGCTGCATATTCAGATAAGGGTGACAAGAGTGGTGAGAGGTTTGGAAACCATGTTAAATGAGGAAATCAAATAGTTTAAATTAGAAAAGAAATATTTTAGTTAATTCATGATAGTCATATTCAAATATTTGACCAGCTGTCCTTTGGTAGAGGGAGTAGACCTTTTCCATGTTACTATAGTAGATAGAACTGGGACCAACTGGTAGAAATTATAAAGAGCAAAATTTCAGCTACATAGGCAAAAGAACACTAAGAATTAGAGCAGTCAAAAATGCTTCACAAAATAATGTACTTGACATCACTGAAGGTATTCAAGAGGCTACCTGTCTGTCAGAGATATTGGAGAAGGGATTTCTGCATTAGACCAGATGACCTCGAAGACTGTTTTCAGTTTTTAAGATTTAGTGAAAATAAAATAAAATTAATTAAAATAAAATAAAAAAACCAAAACAAAACAAAAAAAAAGATTTAGTGAAATATTCTGGCTAATACAGAAATGCATAAATGTATTATATGCAGGCCATATATGAGAATCCATTTTCAAATTTTATATTTTAGGATAACATATTATAATAAATCAGTTATAATATAATCTTACTTTGTTGATGCATTAAGCATATCAGCATCTTATAGTCCCTGATATTTTATGAAGTTATTATATAGCTTTGACACTAAATAGAAATTTCTGGTCAAATATTGAGTTAATAAGAGTTTACTCCATAAATATTCCTATCTTCTTGGGTAAGAAGTGTGCCTGTGAGAAACAATAGAAGTTGTCTCTGAAAGTTGTTCTTAAAGAAGTAGAAAAGAGATAGAGAAATGAAAACAAAATCATCTTCATTATCCTTTAGATTCTCTCTGTGTGAAAGGACTCTCCAAGAGAAAGTTAGTCTCAAGAGTAATTACATTAACTTCCACAGATAAGGAATGTGCCATTTGATAAACAATGTTTCTAGAACACTGAATTGAATGAAACCTCTTGGCCTAGAAGAACTGACATGTTTAATTTTCTCCAAGGAGTAATTTATTCTTTGAGACAATCTATCCGACCAATGTCCATGTAGCAAAATGGCTTTAGGTTGGGAAGAAAACATTTCTGTAATCCAACAACTGAAACTGAACTTAGTAGAGAATGTATAGACTTTACTGTTATTTAACACATTGCTAGGCAAGATAGGCAATTTATGCTTCAAATAAGTGGGCATTATTTTTAAAAACTGATAAATATAGCACTTTCTGTAATGGTTCTCTCTCTCTCTCTCCCTCTCTCTTTCTCTCTCTCTCTCTCTCTCTCTCTCTCTCTCTCTCTCTCTCTCTCTCTCTCTCTCTCTCTTTCTCTCTCTCTCTCTCTCTCTCTCTCTCTCTCTATATATATATATATATATAATATATATACATATATTATATATATATAATATATATATCAAAATAATAATAACTCAGATTTATATAATGCTTTCAAGTACAAAAGAACTTTGACTTTTATAAAGCATTTTCCATGTAACAATTCTGTTATGGAGCTAGTAAACTTATTTTTATACCCATCTTATAGGTAAAGAAACAGAGGCAAGGAAGGGGTTTGTATATGCCTATAGTCACACAGATAGAAAGCATCAGAGCTAAGATTCCAACCCATATCTCTTGACTCCAAATTCTCTTGACTCTGTACCATATTTCTTCCGCCATAAGCCAAAGATTTTTACCATACACAAATAAAACATCATGTTTTTGGAAGTTTTACAAACAATAGGTTTGTTTTTGACATTGTAAAAGCTTCCAGTAAGATATCAAAAGATAATTATGAGGTTAATTGCAGGGGGGGGAGGAGAAAATGAAACCTGGAGGTAGAGTTACTCAATTATGAAATTGAGACCATAAAACTAAGCCTAAGGTGTTAAGTCTGTTGTCAATCGTGTTCTCTTTCAGATATTCCACTGGACTGGGAGTCAGGAGACTGGATTTCTATTCCTGGTTCTACTACAATTCAGCTGGGTGACTTTGGGCAAGTTCCTTCACTTCTCTTTCCTCTCCTGTGGTTTCAGGGGGTTGGACTGAATGTTCTCTGAAGTCCCTTCCAACTCTAACATTCTATGGGTCTATGATCACCTCCCTCTCTTGCTTTTGGGTAAGAATACTGTATATAAATTCTTGACTTACACTGTATTCATTTGTTTTCTGATTTAAGAAATTATCTCAAATTCATTCTGAAATCCAAACAATTCTGCCAGTAATCAAGCCATATAGTGTCATATGCGTCTTGTCTTGAGCCTGAATTAGTATGTATGTTTATTTACTTGACGTCAAGTGTCAATAGATTCTTGTCTATCTGAATATTAAGACTGATTTGGGCACTGCAGAATATGTCTGCACTATATCAGGGAGTTTGAAGCAAGCTGTCCTTTGATTCCTCCTTATCTGAACCAGGTCCCATGGAATTGGTAATACTCCTGAATGTGTGAAGAACAAGAGAATGTGTGACTTATGCTCAGCAGTCTTTCCTGTTTTTATTATCTACTATGGTAGTGACAGTAATGACCAGGTCAAGATGGCAAAATCTGGGCTGCATTTTTCCTATTGGCTGACTGCCGATGCACAATCAACCTGGTAAGGGTGATAATATTAATAAGGTTTTTTTTTTTGGCAGGCACAAGTCTCCACTCATTTAAATTTTAAAACAGAATTTGAACAATGACTATGCATTAGTGAGCATTTTCAATGACATTTGAAAAATAGAATCACAGGATTTGAGAGCTGGAAGGAACTGTAGAGATTGCCTTGTCCAACCTCTTCATTTAAATGATGAGCAAATCAAGGTCTGTTGGGAGGCAGTGTGAGATAATAGAGAGGCAGGAAGACCTGGGTTCAAGCCCTACATTTGACACATATCAGCTGTGTGACCCTGGGCAGGATACTTAACCTTTTGGTGCCCCAGAGATCTTTCTGAGACTCTAAGCTGAAGAGCAGTTGCTAATCTATATTGGTAGAGGGAGTTTTCTCACTGGGAGTATCCTAAAGTAATATAAATCATAAGTCTATCTTCCCCCCACCAAGAACAAAACAAAACAAAACAAAACAGAGGTCTAACTTTCAGCTAGGTAGTATTTGAAGTAAAAGAAAGTGCATGTGAAATGAATATCAGAAATTTTGAGAAACCTAGGAAGACTTACATGGACTAGAAAAGCTAAGATTTGCATGTATAAGCAGTGCAAAGAGAATAGATCGAAGAGAACAAAACACATGAGTACACTAATGTGGTGAAAAAACACCAAAATTCTGCCAGGCTAAGGGTAATTACAATGACCCATTCTCATCTCAGAGCAAAAAAGAAGCACTGCTCGACCTTCCTGGTAGTGAGGTAGAGAACTAGAGGACAGTAATTTTGTATATACTGTCAGATGCAATTATCGACCATTGGATCTTACTCAAAACTTTTTTTTTGTTACAAAAGAGGATTAAATGGAAATTATATGGGGAAATGATCTTAATAGGAAAAGACATAAATAAAAGTTATTGTTTGTTATTAATTGAAAAATAAAGGCAATTGGCCATATGTTGATTTTCCCAGAGTGCCAAGTTCTCAAGCTCTAGTTCCTTTTTCTAGAATAGTCTTTAGCTCTGAGGCATATTTAGAATTTGTCTTCTCAGCCCCTTTGGATTGAACCATTTCTGATTGAAGGAATTAATTTGTTTATTTAGGATTTCTATCCTACAAACTTGAATATACTATACAATATCACAATTCAAACTAAAAAAAAATAAAGTTAAAAGGAGCAGAGAAATTGATGACAACAGGCACATGAGATAGGCCAACTTTTATATCCAAAGATCATAAGTTTTCTGGTAACTATGACAAAAATGAGAAATACTTTGAGTTGTATAGTACTCCTTGCCTGAGAAAATAAAGGAGACAAGTTCTTCATCAGACAGTATTTTCTGGTTCTGAATTCAAGGAGGAATATGTCAAACTGTAATGGGTGCCAGGAGCCTTTTTGTAGGATACATTTGATAACATAATATGTAATGTATTGTGGGTAAAAGAGAATTGGACTTGGAGTCAGAAGACTCATTCAATTCCCGACTTTTCTATTTATTAGCTATATGCAAAAGATTTAGAAATGTTGCTCAAAATAGATGCTTCTTATAAACCCTGTATCAGAATTGAGAAGATTAATATTAAATCATAATTCAGTGAAGGAATTCCTACCAGGAAATGACTAGAAATGGAACTGATTTCACCTTTTAGTCGTTTTTCCTAATCTGAGCTTTAGAACTGCCCCTGGGCACCAAGCCTGTTGGAATATGCACTCAGATACTCTTGCAATTTCAACTCACTTCAATTTAACAAGTGTTAATAACTGTCTACCTTATATGAAGTGGTAGGGATATAAAAGATAAAAATGAAATAGGCCCTGTTCTCAAGGAGCTTGTATTTTCTTTGAGAAAAAAACTGCCATGTACATAGCTAACCAAGTTCATAATATATGCAAAGAAAATAGCAATGATTTGGATTGGGGTATTGCTATCAATTGGAAAGATAAGGAAAAGCCTTCTGTAGGGGGCAGGCTTTGAGGCATCCTTTGGGATAGCTGTGTTATACGAAGTAGCACAATCCACCTAATTTGAATTTCAGTTACAGACTGTACCAAGAAATTTCTGAATGATTAGACCCAAATTTTAGAACTCAGTATTGGAATTAAGTACTTCAGAGTGATGATAGATCTCTGAGCCAAGTCAGTTTTATTGTAGCAAGCACTGCCATGAACAAAACTGAAATAATAATACTAATAGTGCAGTGAAATTCTTCAGTGATGCATTCCAAGGAAAGAAAGAAGGGAGGAAGGAAGGAAGGAAGGAAGGAAGGAAGGAAGGAAGGAAGGAAGGAAGGAAGGAAGGAAGGAAGGAAGGAAGGAAGGAAGGAAGGAGGAGGGAGGAAGGGAGGGAGGGAGGAAGGAAGGAAAGAAGGAAGGGAGGGAGGGAGGGTGGGAGGGAAATAGGTAGGGAGAAATGAAAATGGGCAGGGAAGAATGAAAAAGAAAGAAAAAAATATATGTTGGCACATATTTCTTTGATGTGCATTGGGTAGATTTTATGTGATATGTAGGAAAACATCCAGAAGATTATATACATTGAATTTGGCCAGTTCTTTGATACAAAGATTTGTTATAAATATGTTCTCTTGACTTCTGTGTTGTAGATAGCTGGGATAGGGGAGTGGGGGGAGAGGAAATAGTAGAAATGATATTCAGAAGATGTATGTGCAATGGTTCTATGGCAAATTGGTGACTTGTATTCTAAAATCCCATGTCTTTCTACTTTGACAGGCAGCCTTACTTAATGGACAGAGTTAGACATAGAATCAATATGATGTAGATTTAAATCCAACCTCAGACGCCTACTAGTTGTGTGACAGGGCAAGTCACATAACCTCTCTGAGCTTCAGCTTCTTCATCTGTAAAACTGGTATAAAAATACCTGTATAATCTACCTCATAAGGATTATTCAGTTGAAGTAATGAACAAGTCTAAAGACTTAAGAGCATAATAACAAACTCGTACTTTTTCTGAATCATTGAAAAATGGAGTTTTCTGAGTAATTTTAAAAGGCTGGATCAACTAAAAGTTATTGCAGAGATTCACAGAATATTCAAGCTGGAAGTTAGAAATCATCTAGTCTAAAACCCTTTTTTTTTTGTAGATAACAAAACCTCAAAAGGCCCAGAATGGTTAAATGCTTTGCCAAAGCTCACACAGCTATGTGGTCACCAAGCTTGAACTAGAATACAAGCCTGACTTCCAGGCCACAAGGCCACAGTTTTTTTTTCCTACTACACTATGCTGCTACTACATCCCACAGATGACTTCTAGTGTTCAAACCACTTGAAAACACTAAAATTCTCAGCTCAAAAACTCTACTGGGCACAATATAGAATGCACTGCAAAACCCTCTTAAGGCTCAGACATCATTAAGAACACGATCTATGAGGGTTCAGTACTAAAGATGTAGATGGTTTCAGAGCTTGGGTTAAATCTGTGTTGGTACTTATGACATACCCTTGAAGTACCCTTTAAAATATCCTTTGAAATAAATCTCTGCTATCAGCTTTAAAAAAGAGAGACAAATGAAGATTGTAGAACATACCAAAAAAAAAATTCAAACATTTAAGCTTTCCTTTTGTTAAGGATTGGTGGAAAACTTTGGAGATAACACTATGTAGTGGACAGAGTATGGCTTCTAGAATTGGAGAACATAGGTTCATATCCCACCTTTGACATGATAACTGTGTGATCTTGGGCAAGTCATTCAACCTCATTTAGTCTTAGATTTATCATCTATAAAGTATGGTGATTGGACTTGGACAATCCCTAAGTTTATTAAAGAGCACCTCAGACTCATGGTTGAAAAAAAGGAATTTGCTGTAACAGTCAGTTGGGGGCCATTATAAGTTTTTGAGCAAGAAAATAATTTTTAAAAATTTGGGAAATAAAACTCTTTACTGCTTTCAATAGAACAAACTCATTCATTCATTAAGAAAGTGAATATTGAGTACCTATATAGAGGTGTCAAACATGATTCAGATTCAAATGTAATTGGGAAATATTTAACAAAATAAATAAAAATATAATAGAACATAATTAACTTTAGTATGTGTTTAAGTCAATATTTAGGCTGCAGCAATCCTTAGATTACCAGTCCAGATCAATGTCATCAAACTCAAATAGAAATAGATCCCTGTAGCCACAAATTAACTTAGAAAACCACAAATTAACTTTATCTATGTCATATTGCATTTTTATTTATTTTGTTAAACATTTACCAATTAAATTTTAACCTGGATTGGAGGGCATTTGTGAAGACTGCTTGGGACCCAGAGGTTTGTGAGTTTGATATCTTTGGTCTAGAGGATAAGGCATAGGAGACCTGACTCTGCTGCTTAACATCTATATGATCTTGGACAAATCACTCACCACCTGAATTTCCTCATCTGAAAAGAAAAAGTGGAAAGGATTAGATAATCTTGAGAGTCATCTAGATCTGAATACTATGATGCTAAGATGTGACATAAATTTGGCTATATAAGAGAAACCAAAGAAAATAGTAAGGCTATGTGGTACAGTGGATGGAGTG